ACTGCTAGACGAAGCCTCCATCGAACAAGATGGCCCCTCCATGATCGACTTGAGATCTGCTTGGCAAGTGAGGGCCTTCACCCTGAGCTTTCCGGCAGAGAAGCCTAAATGGTCGGATTGATCAGGTGGGCCTCGATGCCGGTGTTTGTGGGCCAGCGGTGGCCCAGTATGCAGGCGCCCCGGCGTTGCGTTTGCTTTCGTGCGGGGCAGGGTTTAAGGCTTCTGGAACTTGATACTCCGAGGTGCGAAACTCAAGCGGCCTGCTTGAAATTAACACCAAGCCACAACAAAGCATTGCGAACTTTCCTGCGTTTGGGTGGATAAGAAGGCTCCTCGAGCCGCTTGACAACGCCCCGCGATTCGTAAACTTCCAGAGTGTGGACTCAACAAATCTTTGCCCTTTGCTTTCACGGGGCTTTCACGGGGCCATCCCTGCAGCATGAGAACTTGTGAGTTTAGGCAGGACCCTAGCAGAGTGAGGAGAAACCTGAAGCCACCATGGCTCCGAGCGCGAAATCCCCGATGTGAAGGATTGGTTGTCCCGGCAAAGCTCTTGTTCGAGTAAACGCTTATTGACAACGGTCCGTACAGTAACAATCCCTTATTGATGTGGTACTTGACAAGACGTGCTGATGTCGAGCAGCCGGTCACACGATTGTTAGACACCAACACACGGAGCATCGGATAGTTGGGTCTAGAATGTTGCAATACCGAGCCATGCACACTCACGCCCCGAAGATCCGGAATTAGGTTCAGAGCCCTCAACGCAACCAGTCAAACCGAAGCCCTTTCAGCCTTAAAGCCCGACACCCTCTAAACTCTAAAGCTTTCTTGGTCTCGTTGGACTTACCGGGAAGCCACCTAGAACCTCACCCACACAAACGTAATTATGGCGTACGCTGTAGGGAAGGAAGGTTTCATAGCTTGTATAGTGCGAAGCTGTGTAGTGCGAGACGAACCAGTAGGAAGCGGGGTAGTGTTACCGAAGAGAGCCATGAGCTTCCAAACCCCGAGCCCTGAATCCTGACCAGTTGGAGGAGAAAGGCGTTTAAACAACAAAACCTTACGTGGAGCGATTGTGCGCGTGGTTTTACGGTGGAGTCAAGGGGCAACCGGATGAGGAGCTGGGAGTTTCACTTCAGGTGGCTGCAGCGTCCAGGGTTTACGATCCGGGGTGTGGGATTCAAGGCTGAAAAACCTTAATGTCACCTTGGACATCCCCACATGTAAAGTTTCGCTGCTGGCAGGATGGAAAGGAGCGAGCTTTTCGGGAGGGTGTCTCCTCTCGGGGAGTCGAGAAAGTCTCCCCTCGTGCATGTAGCGGACACGTTGGATGCCGGCGATATTCTACACCACATAGCCCGAACTTCTGCACTCAGTTTAATGTTAGGGAACCTCCTTCTATTGTGGCATGGTTGTCTGTTCAAATTTCTTTGTCGGGGTAAACTCCGGACTCCCAAAGCCTCCCCGGAACCTTTGCACCTCCCAACCCCCTTGCGACAACCGACTCGTCTTTGAAATCCTGAGTTCCCTGTCGGCATTCCAAGACTTTCCGGCCCAAAGTGGGCTTTTCGCTGCGTCAAGCAGCCACGGAATGGTGCAATATTGCAACCACGAGCATTTATGTAAGCACCCGGACGAAGTTTGCTTGGAGTACCGGGCTTTAGGCTAACATCCCCCAGTATTACCCCGTCCTCGTTTTGAGATACGAAGAACAACTTTGTTTCCCAAATCCCTCGTCACTGTCTACAATGGGGGCTTCCTGTCGGCTTGGCAATCTTCGTTCGGGACCCGAAGGCACAATCACGAGTCATTTCCTGTGGACGAGTGGGCCCACATTCGTAACAACACCATGAAGCTCGCATCATCATAAACTTAGCACTAACGGACGATGCTGATTGGACAATGGGACAAACAAGAGAACACGAACTGCAATGGCTATTCATGCGAATACCGTTGTCCTTGTCAGTTCTTGAGATCTCACTCCCAGCGTAAAACTTAAATTTGTACAGTGCCGAAAAACACCGAAACTCTACACAAGCCCGAGCTTCTGCTGTCAAGCCGGTTTGGGATCCTTATTAGGCTTTACGGTGTAGGCAGTTAGTTGGTTCGTATGTGTGTGTGTGTGTGTGTGTGTGTGCGTGTGTGTATTCTTAAAGCTGGCATGAGCTTTCCGGGTACTTTCCGGGTACCCGGGTACGTGTGTTGAGAAAGGTTTAGCAATGCCACCTGATGCATAACTGGCAGAAGTACCCTTCATGCAATTGGACAAATTCGGAATCCTCGGGTCTCCTTAAGAACAACGGTGCAGGAGGTTGAATCAACCCTACCAACCTTTTGGACCAAACTGTTCTTTCGTTGGGTCCAGGACGTATCTTGGAGCAGGATATAGCAGTCTGGCTAGGTTCGCTATGCTTCGGCCAGGATTCCACAATTGCGACTTGCTGCTACAGTCCTGATTGAGGCTTCGTTGCAATGGTCGTAGTCGCAATGGTTTGTCGACAGTTGAACCCTGCATCTGAATCTGCATTCTTTTCGGTAATGCATAGTGATGCCATGAAGGTCCTCAGCCATACATGAACCCACAAAATCAACGAGCACCTCAAGGCCTAGAAATGTGCGCCTACATAAATTAGGCAAGCTTCTCAGGATAAAAAAGATTGCAGTCAGATAGGAACTCTTGCAGATTACCAATGCAAGCTAGCCGGGGTTTAGTGCAGAGAGGGCATACTTTCATGGTGCACCCGTCAGAGTCCAGGTGTTTTTGAAGTGCACGTTAAGGCTGAGTCTGAGCCTAGTATGCGAAGTTGATACTAAGCGGGTAACTCGGAGGCGACGATAATACAGCGTGGCAAGGTAACATAAAGTACATCTCTGTGGAGCCACTCGATGCAGTCAGTACACGGGGTATTCAGCTATCCATAGGTCGAAACGGGCTCAAGATGAGTGCGCAGACAGCGGAGCAACAATTGCACCGCACCACAGGCCACGGCAAAGCAGGCCCGGGTTCTTGAACCCGCCCCAGCGGCTAGATTGAGTACCGTGCAGGCACGTTGTAGTAAGAGACTGCTCGCAAAGTGAGAACAATCGGATTGCAGGCGGGTTTCGATTTCGATCAGACTTTTGCTATCACCCAGATCTGGCTCCGCATCAGAAACTCCGAGCTCGACCACTACACCCCGACTCCTGAAGCACTGGCCCCGACCCGAGGTCCTGATGGAGCCGGGCATCGAAGAAAAGGTAATGGAACCGAAACCGTTTGGGTTGTTGCTCGGGCTTGGCCCGCCTCCTGAGTGTCCTCCACCATCCAATTGTTCAGGGAGCTAATTAAGATTCAAACCATCGGACGGGCCTGAAGGATGCCTGGAGCTTGCGAAAGTCTTTGTGCGAACCTTTGTCCGGCTGTCCCTGTTCGCTTGGACCACACAAGAGAACAGAGGGCGGTGCGGTATGAAACGAGTTCGTTCACTTCTTCGGACGAGTGACTAAAGGATGCCGCAAGCTCCCTGCAGGGCCTGAAGATCATAATCGCATAGGGAGAGACTGGCCAAAAAGAACGTTCTGTTTGTGCGTTGGAGACTACCTTGACGTGAGGTGTCAATCGTAAGCAAGATTCAAGAAAAGTGTCCACCACGGGGACATCCCTTCGGGACCATCGTGGCATTCAGTCAAACGTTCGTACCGTCGTACTCAAGTGTCTCGTTATCCTGGAGGCTAGCAGATGCTGAATTGGACTGTCGGCTTTTCGGTGCCGCGCGCTGTTGCCCTAAATCCTAAGCCTAGACCCCAATCGGTTGCGGGGGCCAGACTGACCAAGCAGCTCTCCAAACCCGAAGCTCCAAATCTGACGTGAAGCTTGTCACCGGCAACCTTGGATCCGGCGCCACCGAGCAAACGCCCGAAGGTCAGGTCTACAGTCTACAACTGAATCCTGAAGCCCCAAATGCCAAAGCCTATGCCCCTGACCGTGAGGCCCCCAATTGAGTGCTGGCCTTAAGCCCAAGACCGTGACCTAAACCTACACAGTCGAAGTTTCCCATCATCCTAGATTCTGGCCCCGCCTGGCACCCTAGTCTTTCATCGTGCCTGCAAAAGTCGTCGATCTCTTTTCCACAGCTGAGCTTTTTCAACTTGCAGCGGTCAGGATGGCACTTTCACCACAGGCACTGAGTAAGATCCCGAAGAGCAGCGTCTTTGTCTTTTCACCTGTGTTCGCAGTCAGAATAGCTTGGCTCTGGCATTTGCTGTTATCTTTGCCACTCATCAGCCGATGCATGGACTTCGATCAGACGGAGACAGTTGGTGTAGCAATAGTAGCGACGACTATGACTGTGAAAGTAGTGTTTCATCCGTGCAAAGACTCCGGTGCTTGGACGTCGCTCCTGTAGCTTGAAAACCTTCCACCAAATCTTTCGACCAAACCCTCATCCTCAATCTATCGTCCTGAGACAGGGTGCAGACCTCATGATCGAGGCTGCTACGGCCGAGAGCCCCATAATCACCTGAATTAGACCTTGTCCATGTCCCTGAAGTAGGCTGTAGTAGGCTTTCTATTTGACCTTTCGGATTTCATGGTCGTCATTCAGAGCCTGTGGCCGTCACAACCTCGGAGGGAGCGGCGTGGGCCGCAGCGGGCAGCGGGCGAGAAAGAAAGAATCTGGAAGCCCGAGAGTTCTCCGATGGCGAAGAGTCGAGTAAGCTTGTGGGAGCAGACCAGCAACTTGCCGGGCCTGCGCTTCAGGACCAGTTTAGTAAAGTTTAGTATCATGTAGGACATAGGTTGTTGTTCTTTACGTGGCGTTTACTGTTTCGTGCTTCGGGCTTAGGGTTCAGGAATGCAGGCCCTAAGTTTCGGGCAGGACAGGCATCGGTGGCATACATGTTGGATTGAATAGGATGTTGGTAGCGCAAAATCTGATGATCAGCAAGTTTGCAGCATCAAGCATTCTCTAGAAGCCAACAGCACGCCAAATGATCTCAATTCCCAAGCCTTCACCGAG